CATTCCTTTCCATCCTTCCAACTATTCTAGTTTACTTCATTCTGTCAATCACTTTTTCTGCTGTAATTCCATTTACGCCAATGTCTATTAAATTTACATGAATTTGTTTCAGTATTAACTAGAACCTTTAATAATTCCATGAACTCCGTCAGAGAACACAACCATTGCCCTGAGTCATGATTTCATGTATGTCATTTTCAGATCCCCTTTCCTGTGCTAACCTTGCCCCCTCCCCCTCTCCCTCCCTTGCTCTCCCTACCCAACCCCCTTCTCTCTCTCTCTCCTCTTCTCTCTCTCTCTCTCTCTCTATCTCCTCTCTCTCTATCCCCTTCCCTTCTCTTTATCTCTCTCTATCTCTTCCCTCTATCTCTCCCCCTCTCTTTCTCTCCCCTCCCCTTCTCTCTCTCTCTCTCTCTCTCTCCTCCCATCTCCTCCCTTGCTCTCTTGCTCTCTTCTCCCAATCCCTTCTCTCTGTCTCTCTGCCTCTCTCCCCACTCTTTCTTTTTATATTTCCTTTTCTTTATTTCCCTCTTCTCTATTTTCCTCTTGCTGTACTGAGGGCCTCATTTAATATTTCAGGTTGTCAGATAGGTCACATTTTGGTCTCATGCTCATCTGCATTTGAACACTCATTGTGTCAATATCAGTGAATCATTGCAACGACTTTCATGTGAAATAATGTTCATGCTTTGCCAAATACCGTTATGATCCATAGATATAAAGCTTCTTTTAGGATTGAAGTTTGTATCTATTTCCTGTTCACATTCTATCTTTTTAAAGTAGGATGTGATCCTAACATATGAGGCTTTCACTTTTGACCAACAATGGCAGTAATTTCTTGATAAAGGGTCAGAAAGTGCAAGTACATTTGTTTGAACTTTTCATGTGAATACCAAGGTGAATACTTAGGTTCCAGTTATTCTTATTTTATTAGGAATGATTTTTATTTTGCCCTAATATTAAGTTTAAATAAAGTAAAGACCATGAAGGGTACTGATTTATCTACAAATACATTATTATATTCTTAAATGTTAGTGATTCCAAAAATGATATTTGGTTGTGTTTCATGTGCAGAATAATAGACCTCTTGAATAATGAGCCCTACTTCATCGTCAGAAATATCAACCCCTTATTTATTAGTTAGAATTTTATATACTATTTCATTTTCAGAGTTGAAACCCCTACATTCAGAATAAGGAATCTTCATAAGACCAAACCTTCAGAACTATGAATCTTAAGAATAACTAAAATAATTTACATTAGATTTTTTTCAAAAATATGAACCTTCAGGAAATAAAACCTGATTCTAACTGGCCAGTGTGCCTCTCATGCTCATGAAAGTATGTGATGAAACTAATGAAAGCAGACTAAGATTGAAATTATACCAACCCTGGAATTCGTTAGTACAGAGGTGCAGGGGATAGGAAATGAGGTACATTTAGAATGAGGGAGGGGGTAGAGAGAGGGAGGGAGAGGGAGGGAGAGAGAGAGGGAGGGGGTATAGAGAGGGAGGGGTAGAGAGAGGAAGGGAGGGAGAGAGAGGGGGAGGGGGTAGAGAGAGGGAGGGGGTAGAGAGAGGGAGGGAGAGAGAGAGAGAGAGAGAGGGAGGGGTAGAGAGAGGGAGGGGATAAAGAGAGGGAGGGAGAGAGAGAGAGGGAGGGAGGGGTAGAGAGAGAGGGAGGGGTAGAGAGAGAGAGAGAGAGGGAGGGGTAGAGAGAGGGAGGGGATAAAGAGAGGGAGGGAGAGAGAGAGGGAGGGGTAGAGAGAGAGAGGGAGGGGGTAGAGAGAGGGAGGGGATAAAGAGAGGGAGGGAGAGAGAGAGGGAGGGGGTATAGAGAGGGAGGGGTAGAGAGAGGAAGGGAGGGAGAGAGAGGGGGAGGGGGTAGAGAGAGGGAGGGGGTAGAGAGAGGGAGGGAGAGAGAGAGAGAGAGAGAGAGAGAGAGGGAGGGGTAGAGAGAGGGAGGGGATAAAGAGAGGGAGGGAGAGAGAGAGAGAGGGAGGGAGGGGTAGAGAGAGAGAGAGAGAGAGAAAGAAGCAGAGGCAGAGAGAGAGAGGGAGGGGTAGAGAGAGAGAGAGAGAGGGAGGGGGTAGAGAGAGGGAGGGGATAAAGAGAGAGGGAGAGCGAGACAGACAGACAGAAACAGAAGCAAAGATGGACATAGTCAGGCTGAAAGAGAAATGGAAAGTGAGAGCGAGAGAGAGAGGGGGGGGGGGGGGGAGAGAGAGGGGGGAGGGGGACAAGAGAATGAGAGGGGAGTAGAATTTCTGGAATCCTCCCGGAAGGTGAGAGGGGGGATCCCTGCGACTCATTCACAGAGGCCGTGCGATTCCCCCTGTTGAATTTGTCACACTCACGCAGAAATTGGTCCAACATTCACGCTTCCGTCTATCATCCTATGCACTCTGTATACGTGGTCATGTCACGTAGTAATACGTGGGAAAACTTGTAGATATCCAGTGGAAGTTTGAGGATCTTTTTTTGGAGTTTACTTGGGAGATATATATATATATTCATTTTGCTCTTAAGATTTCTGTTTCAAGGGTAAGCACTTATTTATTCTTTTACATATTCTCTGTTGCTGCTGACATATTATGGACTTTTAGATTTGCGTGGACTGATACGTTTGACGTCCATTCAAGGCAGTGCATTAAAAGGACGTCGACCGTAGCAATCCACATTGTCTTCGTGCAAATGTAAAAGTCCCTATCGTCTGTTTAGAAGGGCATTATAAACTCCTCACCTTTTACAGAGAGTTAATACTCTTCTGGCTCCAAATAATATTTTCTTGATAATTGTGCCACGCCCCCACCACCCCCACCCCCATCTCTCCCTTGTCTCTCTGTTCCTCATATTCTAAAACAGAATATATTTATATATCTTCCTTTTTTAAGACTTTTTAAAATGCAAGCATATAGTCTGTTTGAAAAAGTAAATGCATTATCACTTTATAACCTTTCCATCGTCACAAGTGCCAATTAGCACAGTCGCCAGTTTGCCACGCATGCCAATCGGCACAAAACGATAGACATGAATTAATGGAAAATTGCTTTGTGCACATTATAAACTTTTAAAAAGTACAAAATTTGTTGGTTTTGCTTGTGAAAACCCTATTTACAATTTCCCAAGAATCTGTAAGCTCGGTGGAATGCATAGTTTAAACCAAACTAAAAAGGTGTAATATCTTTCAAATAGCTTTTTCCTGCTTCAAATTCAGTTTACAACTGGGTACAATGCTTTTATTCTGTAGGGATATTATACACAATCATCTTGCATGCATATCATTGGTACTCTATGGACAGGAGCAGTGTGTATCAGATAGATAGGATATAGGGGAAAAGTCTGTTATTTTAGGAGGGGGCTCCTTCCACAGCAAGGGGGTAAAATTTGGCATAAATTCATACGCATGTAACAGATGCACATATGAACTTGACAAGCCTTCGAAAAATTGACAATGTCTGGTGAGAAATAATTGTATGAACTCTTTCTGTGTCCAATATATGATTGATTAAAAGTTAAAACCTTTGTTCAGGGTTGGGGGGGGGGGGGGCATTACGTATATTCAAAATTTGTATTGCCAATTTCTTTTTTAATTACCTTTGCATATAAGAAGGTCAGGTCATGTTCGTGTCTAGTGATAATAAAACATTATGTAATATAGTGACTGTAAACCAGCTGTTGAATATTTGATATTGCTCCATAAGTAATGAGTAAAAAGAATTAATTTACTCAAAACTGGGTCTAGAGGCCAAGGAAATCTAGCATTGACCTTCGGGTTCTGTATTAAAGGGTCAGGTCACATCTATTTCCTTTAGGGGCTATGAAACAGCTGTGCATCTATCTTTCTGGATCACGTTTTTACTATACCTCCATCTCTGCCCCTTACCCCCCTAGGGGCACCCCATACCCTCTCCCCACACTCCCTACCCCCTACCCACACTCCCTACCCTTCACGCTTTGGAAAAGGGTTTAGTAATCTTGCATTCCTGACATGTTCTGATCCCAATATCATATAGACAAGTCTTCATAAGTATTCTGGTGAATATAATACACTAAATAATAATAATGATAATACATATGATTTATAAGGCGCCAAATCCACTTGACAGTCAAATGCTAAAGGAGTCGATCTTGGAGAGAATAACCCCTCTTGCCACACATAGCAACATCGCAAGCATAGAATTGATAACGACATGCCTATATATTTCACCCTGATGCAAAAGTACATTTTCTTCATGTTTCTGGCACCAAGGATATGACTGAATTGTCTTCATTTAGCAAATGACACTAAAAAAAGTTCCCCTTAACCCACACAGTGTAATTTGTGTGAGCTCTATATGCCCACATACAGGACATCATGTGCCTGTAGGCCTGTACTATAGAGAAACATTGACAATGGCATTGAAAGTACAACCTCTTTTAATGAATTGCTTCGAAAGCAAAGGAAGTGGTCATGTTAGGAAATTAAAGTAAGGTATTTATTAATTACTGCTTTCATATTGTCCTATTTAAAGGTAAAGACCAGTTATGGTCATGCGATTGCATTGTGAAAGAAACGTTGTGGAATCGATCAGAAAAGGTTGATCATCTAGCATCTAGCGTCTGCAAGGTTCTGGAATCATCAAAATGATAAGAAATTTGGCCCATTCTTCGTAAAGTTACAAGCACTATACACAGAAAGATGTATATGGGACTACCCTATATCTCTCACAGACCATGAGAGAAACAAATTTACCAAATATATGAATTAGTAGGCGGTTTCCCGGCAAATTTTTTATCATCATGTATTAGTCAAAACATATTCTTTCACATGATTGGTAATGAGAGCTTCCATTTCATTTTTTGAAATTGGGGCGTTTCCAATACTGGTCTTTACCTTTAAGGTTTTAAACAAAATTCTATTGAAATGTCTTCAAGGAAACTTGTAGTTTGAAGTGACGTTAGGCAAGTTGTAGGTTGTGGTGCCCTTGTGAGGGTTGGGGCAGTTCTGCAGGGCTTTAAAATAATCAGATATATTAAAGATTGACTAGACCTACTTGTGTCATTGCTTGCAAGAGGATCACCTGATAGAAGCAAAGCAACATATTGCCACGGATCCAGAAGAGCTTGAACTCTGTGTAAAGTGAGATTTACAACACTATATAGTGACATCCCTTATGAAACCTCGCAACAACAGTACAACTATTGCTTTGTCTGTATATCAATGGCTTTTAAAGATGATATAATGTATCGCAATCTTTCATTTTTAGAATAAGTACATTTTTATTTAAGCTGCAAGGTTGCAAGCAAGCTGGTCAAAAAAATTTTTAGCAAGCTTTAGAGCTGCTCATGTGTATCGTTTTGATGTTCTGCTTTAATACAGTCATGGAATACAACGAGATGAAAGCCTTTCATGTCACATACTCTGCTGTAAAAGATGAGAGGGAAGCTAGTGGGCCTCTCAGCGTATTTCCTGAACACTTTCATGCAACGCTTACGTGTCTGACAGATCAAACTTGAACCCTAGAGAGCAGGTGCACTTTAAAGACCCAATTCGATGAAAATACAACTTTTTATCAATGGAAATCTGAATGAATGTAGAATACAAATATGAAGGAATAACAAGTATTTTCCCTTTCGGTATTGCACAAAAGCAGATTAAAACCTCATATCTGCATCCCTCTAAATGATGGGTACCCATTTACCTCACTTGGGTGGAGTTTGGCAATTGTAGATTAATGTCTTGCCAAAGGAAATTGATACTGCGACAGGGATTCGAACCCCTTCCTTGTGGTTCACAGTCCGGAGACTTATCCACTGGACAACAAAGTCACTACACCTGTACAAGTCTACAGAGATATTAAGGAGTTATGCGCCTCAGTCACACTTTTGTGTATTTGGCTTGCTTATTGCTGCATATTTATGGCAAGCCGTTTTTGATATCAAGAATTACCATTGCTTCACAACCAAAAATCATTTTTTTGATATCAAGAAATGGGAATAAATGTTAAAACAGCTTGCCATAAATACGCAAAGGTGTGACTGAGGCTTTAATAGCTTTCTTGCTCTCAACATTCAATAGTGTGTCCTCACAACTTGGAGGTGTGCTATTTTCCAGAGATCTCTAAAAGTACATATGTCATCACATGAAGGGTAATCCCCTATACCTGATAGCCTCTTCACTTTCTATGTGACCACTGGTTCCAGTTTCACTTGCGTCGCATGGAGTCTCACATGACCATAAGGAAGTACATCATGAGGCCTGCCTCCTCAGACCAAAGTTGCCAAATAACCCACTATTTTAACTAGCCCGATCTGAAAGTAGCCAGCTAATTTGCGTCCTCGTCAGCCTGCAGTTGCAATTAGCGGGTTATTTGGTCGAGAAAATATCCCGAGAAATATTGGTCTTGTTTCCAAAATAGCCCGCTATTTGGGAAATAGCAGGCTAATTTGCGCCCGTCTTCATCTAGTTTGTGATGAGCGTATCGGTCTGGTGACGACGCAATTTTGAGCTTCAGGAAATGTCCCAAGTTTAAAATTAGCGGGTTATATTTTGCAACTTCGGTCTGATGGAAACAGGCCTATTGAGATTGAAATGACATTGATTATGGAGATATATTTCTTGAGATATGACTAATGATTATACTTGAGATAGGTATATATCTATTGGAGTCTGGACAAAGATCGAGACCAAGCGGATGTCATATTCAAAGCTCCTCGTAGCAAAAATGAGATTGATTTTAGTGCCAATTAAAAATTAGATTGGATTCTATTGAGTGGACTGTTTTATAAAGAGATCTCCAAGTGTTGATGTTCACATTCTTGCTAGGTGCTTCGGGACTGTTGGTGTGGAAGAACGATTTGTGAACATGAGGATGTAACTTAGAAGCTCAAAGCGAACTTCAACCACTGAGCTCTGAGACTACATGTAATCAAAGCTATATATATTTGCGGGAGATAATTTCATCACGGTTTATCAAGCTTCTTGGTTCAGTCATGACTTCATTTTGAAATCTGATTGGTGTTTGGAGAAACATCTTGCTGCAAATTTACTGAAGGATGATTGATTTTCTTTAAAAAATAAGTTAAACTGTCTACAAAAGAAGATACCACAAATCTGAATAATTTAATTTGTACAAGTTTCACAATTGCTTGTAGTCGCGATAGCATTCATTTGTTGAAGTATCAGAGAATGGGTAAGTAATTACTGTATGTCTTCCTTTTCATAAAAAATATCATTACATTATGAATGACTTTATATTGTCACTGTTACCTCTAAACCTCTGAAAAAAACTCTGTCATTCTTGCAAATGCCCATGGAAATTCCAACCATTAGTACTTCTTAATTGGTTGGTTAAAAGACGTAAATGAGACTTGGGGTATTAATGTGTGTTAATAGTTTAGCGTATGCTTGCACCGATTAGCTTTCATTAAGACCAATTAGCAGGGAATTGACACGTAGAGACTATCAACAAGAAAGACTGTAAGTCACTGTTAAGACTAGTAAGCAAAACTCAAACCTTTTAGAATACTGCAAATTTGTTCTCAAGACAGAGAATAAGCAGAATTTTAGGGCTGTGAATTTACTGTTTATACTTTAACAAGTAGAAACAACAATTGAAAAGACTACTTTTCCTGTTAAGACAGGCATTAAGCAGGAATAAAATTGTAATAGACTTTAATTTATTTATACTATAGACAACCATTTTAAAGAATGTACATTTACAAGGAAATGTAGGCCTCACCTTTTAAAAGACCCTTTTCCCTTTTAAGACAGGCAGTAAGAAGGGATACAATTTTAATAGAATCCAACATTTACTATTTATTCTAAAAGCAACCATTTTAAAGAATGTACATTTACAAGGAAATTTAGGCCTTATACCTTTTGAAAGACTGTAAATCTACTGTTGGTCCTTTCGAAAACAAGCAGAAGTGACAATTAAAAATACAAATGTCTAAAGTAAGTATCCAATTGATATTAATAGTAACATGTACTTGACATAAGCTGTGTACGTTAAGGGACATTGTAAGACTGCCAAGTGCAGACTGCTTAAGAGTCGGTGTAGGAACACGTGTTGGTCACATTTCACGGTCGTTCTCTTCTTCCGCCCCTTTGGCTTTGGTCGAAGCAATTAAAGTGCACGTAAAGTGCGTGCTTCCTCCTCCTTCCTCCTCCTTGTCAACGTAAACGGGTCTGCATTAGGTCAGGAGGGTCAACATGTAATTAAGTTCGTTAAAGACTTGTGTACCGGTACTCTCAAAGACTTGGCTGACGTTCCGCTGTTTATGATGACGTTGTGATTATTTATAGAGGATCTGTCTTGGGGTGGCGTTGTAGGATTGTACCGTGACTTGATCAAGTTGTAGTCATTTTATTCATAAGCGCTGTCAAATGCTTGACCAACTCTACATTTTTTGTGATGAAGGATTTAATAAAAGATCTGCTTTATTAGAGGATCTGTTATTATAGAGGATCTGTTCTTATCGAGAATCTGTTCTGTTCTTACTACAAAGGATTATAAAGTGGAATATGCTTTGAGCAGGTACTTGATAACTTTTCTTGTCTTGCGTAGCCTAATGGAGGTAATTGTCATGTTTGTGATTTACATATTCACTGCATGATTATCAGTATCATCAGTAGCAGTACTTCAGGTGAGGAAATGGTTTCTGTTATAACCAATGCCATGCATGAATTTACATGTACTTTGAAGAAGCATGTGATTTACATCACTGCATGATGATGATTATCATCAGTATTGCAGATGAGGAGATCGTTTCTGTTATAAAGAGTGCCATGCATGAATTTACTTTGAAGAACCATGAATATTTGGTATGATTGTGATTGATTTACTGCAATAGACCAGTTCACGGTTAGCACATCTCTGCAATGACCCCGAATATCCACAGATCTTCAAAACATGAAGAGGTCCCACTTTGTACATTTTGAAATAATCACTCCTACAGCGATGCAGGTGCTACATAAATAGCCTTTGTTTCCCCTTTTCAAAGAATATTTGCACCTGTAATTCTGCCTGTGTATCATGGAATGCACTGCTTGTTCATTAATGAATAATGATTACATAACTTTCATGAGCACGTATCCAGTATTTCGTCTCAGTGTATTATACAATTTGTTCTGCAATGACCTTTATCTGCTCATGCTCAGACTGCAACCGTGAACTGGCTTATTGATGGTCTTGTCTGTCGGCTATGTCTGTCAAAAGTTCAAATTGTATTTGTTAACTTTTATGGTACGATGACTTCATGATTATCCAGGTGTTCTTGAAATATTGGAAACTTGACTATCAGGATCCAATCTGTTGTTAACAAAGTGTTACATATCTGTTGTTGAACAGAGACATATTGCTATGTTGAAATAACTGGACACCGAAAAATGCATTGTAAGTGTTTGGTCTGATTAAGTATACAGAGCATTGTATTATTCATAGAAATGAGAAGAAAATGAGCTGAAATATTTAAGAAAGCCCTGACATTTGTGCATATGAAAATTTGTATGCATGGATTGAATTTCATTTGTTGCTATGTTTGGCAAGTCCTTTACATATCATCTTGAGGGGCACTGTAACAAGATTTTTGTTTTTGAAAATAAAAACAAAATTCAAAGGAGAGTATCACGATATAGATTTGAAACTTTAGTAGATTTTGGTAAACTGTCACAACAAATCAGTCCTTCTGCCTAAAATGTATTTCACAATTTATCACCATTTGCCCTATCTACATCGATCTATAATATCCTGTTATTTTCCTCTCCGTGCCTTACCTAGTTTGAAAGAGTCTCTTGCGGCACATCATCAAGGATGCACCAGTTGCGTCCTACATACGTCATCGGCTCTAGTAGGTTAAATTAAAACTGACTTCATTGATACAGACATAGATTTAATTGTCCTTAGAAATATGAGTCATCTCAAGGCTGCCACATCATTCATGATCATTGTGTATGAACGTTCATCTTGTGTTTCCTATTCTTTAATACCCCTTTCATATTAGGAGCAGAGAATGGTTGAGTCCGGGTCGAGTCCAGATTGAATCCTGACCCAAAAGCTTTATATACGTATATGAATATGAATATTATCAGCAACACTTTATTTAGTCTGCAATCATTATGGACTTCCTTGCCTGGCTGCCTGCCCTGAGAGGGGGTGGGGGGGGGGGGGTTGAGTCTGGACTTTACAGGTCTGGACCCGAAATAGTTTTATTTGTATGACAGAGTTCAATCCTCTCAAAGATGTGAGCAAACAATCCTGTCTTCACATTTCTACTAAGTCTGACTATAAGGGTTGTTGTGTTTCGTTGCCCCCCCCCCCCCTTTTTGCTTGGTTGTATAGGCTCGTTGATCCTCATGACATCTTCAATGGGCAACACACTAAGGCACAATATATGTTCATAGCTATGTTTTTACTTGATTTGATGTTTATTAATTCAATATCCATCAAAATATATACGTTTACAATCTTGTACCTTTAGATGTATGATAATTACATGATATATACAGGAAAGGGTTCATCTTTAAGCATAAGCTTGTAGTGACGTCCTCCAGAAAGGCAGGAACTTTGAAAAGGTTGTAGGAGAGGACAAATAACTACAAATGGATCACAGACACTCCCGTCTTGTCAAGAATAATATGTAGCATACACAGAGGTGGGATAGAAAGAGGAACTTTGAGTTAAATTTCTACAGGAAAGAACGTCTTTCTTTAAAAAAATCCCAGACTCAAAATACATCCTGGCTGGAGGTTTGCCAACTTCATGACAATTTGAAACTGCAGGAAAATCTTTTACGAGGGAATTCTGCCAGAAATAATGACAGAAAGAGCTCTTAAATACAGTGATTCAAGCCAGGGATCGTCCATGCAAGTCTCTCCATAGTGCAGGGATCGTATTAGGCTTTCACTGTGTATGAATCAGTACTGATACATGTAGGTACAGGTTCCTGATGCTTGTGTCTGTAAGTGTTACATGTAAAAGAAATCATGTAATAATTCAGAGTTTCTTTTAATATCTTTCTTTGTTTCCTGTGTTGTGTCGCAATTGAGTTTGTGTGCAGGATGTACAGGTTTTTGTTGGGGAAGGGGAATGGTAAAACATTGAATTCTTGAGTTTAAAGAAATGTTGTAATGTTTCAGGGTTTCTTGAACTATTCTTTGTTTCTGGAGTCTTTGAACATTTGAGTAGGTGTACATATGTGGGATGTTTTCTGGGGAAGGGGAAGGGGAAGGGAAAGGGAATTTCTTTCATGTTTTCCCATAGGGCAGGTGTTTGGTCTCTCAGTTTGTTCAAGTCATTGTTTATAATATATTTTCTTAACTCTTGCGTCCCTTTCTCTCCAATAGAGGAAGTGATAAGTATTTAGTATATAATTCATTGTCCATATATTAAAGAATTTTTTTTCACTGGTTAGTACAAGTAAAACATTATAAACATAACAAGTGGTAATAGTAATGATGGGGGGAAATGATTTAATGTTTCAGGGTCTCTTGAAGTGTTCTTTGTCTTGGAGCAATTGAGTGGGTGTTCAAGTAGGATCTAGAAATATTGTAGTGAAGGGGAAGGGGGAAACCATGGAAGTTTTCTCATTTTTCACCATAGCTAGTACAGGTGTTGTATTATTAATATTTTCCATGTGAATGAGTCAGAAATAATAAGTGCAGATTCCTGACGATTAAAGTGTGTCCTCTTCATATGTATGTTAAAAGAAATGATGTACTGTATATCAGGGTTTCTTGCAGTGTTCTCTGTTTCCTTTGTCTTGGAGCAATTGAGTGGGTGCTCAAGTAGGATCTAGAAATATTGTTGGGAAGGAGAAGGGGTAAGTCATGGAAGTTTTCTCATTTTTCGCCATAGCTAGGACAGGTGTTGTATTATTAATATTTTCCATGTGAATGAGTCAGAAATAATAAGTGCAGATTCCTGACACTTTAGTGTGTCCTCTTCATATGTGTGTTAAAAGAAATGTGTATCAGGGTTTCTGGAATTGTTCTCTGTTTCCTTTGTCTTGGAGCAATTAAGTGGGTGGTCATGTAAGATCTAGAAATATTATAGGGAAGGGGAAGTTATGGAAGTTTTCTCATATTTTCCATCGTACAGGTGTTGTATTATTAATATTTTCCTTGTGTATGAGTCAGAAATGATAAGTGCAGATTCCTGACACTTCAGTGTGTCCTCTTCATATGTATGTCAAAAGATATGATGTAGTTTATCAGGGTTTCTTGAAGTGTTCTGTTTCCTGTGTTCTTAGAGCACTTGAGGAAAGTGGTACAAGTATTGTAGGGTAAGGGACAAGGAACTTTTCTTATCCCCCGCCCATGTTCTGGTGTTGTATTAACCTTTCAGTGTGCATGAGTCAGTGATAGGTACAGGTACTTGACATCAAGTATGTCTCTGAAATGATGGAATGTTTCAGGATTGATATATTATTCTCTGTTTTTACTAGGAGTAGATGAACTTGGAGAAAGCAAAATACAGTCCAACCTGCTTTAATAGTGACCACCTGTCTACTGTTTTATTGAAGTACCTTGAGCATCTTCTATGAGTGCTATAAAAGCATTTATTATTATTATAATTTCCTGTAAATTTTCCTTTTCATCCTTTTTGCAGTTCTCAAGTCGCGGCTAACATATGTTCGCACCATGAGATTACGGTCATCGGTTTACTGTACGATGCCGGCTAGGGCCCTGCAGTACTCTAAACTCTACGAATACGCTGTCATCGTTTCGCTCAAAATCAACCCGGAGACGAGAAGATACGAGCCATACGAAATGAGAAGGTTTCCCCATGAGGTTAGTTGTAGGCACAAAACCTTTTCAGTTTTAATTTAAAGCCTGTCTGTACTTTTTGGCCAAAAGGGATTAGACCACCCTTCAAGGTCACTGACAGGTGGTTATCTCATCAAATCAGCTCTCAATTAATATAAGAAATAGGGGATCATGGGGGACCAACAGGCACAGATTGGGCATTGTTTGCTATATAGAGGGCGCAAGTAGCTATAAGTAGTACAGTGGGGCTTTAAAACAGAGTGAACTGTAAGACTATGAATATTTCAAAGTCAGGTGTTCTCCATAAAATGACCCCTGTACTGTAGCTGTTCCTGACACAGCCAGAAAATGATAAGCTTAGGCTAGGCTCAAAGCGTGATGGACATATGTTGAAACATGGCCTAGTCTCATTGTCACATATACGTGACACCGGCACTCCAAGAGTAAATTGCACATTTCTGTATTTTTTCGTAATTTTTCTTTTTCTGTTTTAAAGGGATTGTGTATCTTTGTCTCAGATTCTAAACGAAATCCTGGATTAAATTCATGCTGCAATCATAATTATAAACCTTTAGGTCAGTCAGGAACCCTATGACTTTTACAAGCCGATTGGCTGTCTGATTATCAAGATATTTATAACTGGAAATCAAGATCATATGTTGCGTTTTCTAACGGTTTACATAACACTACAGTCTATTGGGGAAAACGAGTATGGTAAAACCGGTCACTCAACAATTTTTAATTTTTGAGGCACTTCTTGATCATTTTGAAGCGCAATTCTGTTGGGGCTTCAATATTACACCATATCACAGATGCTGATAACACGAAGGGCCATGCATCTCAGATTTGTAAAACTGGAAACATTGTTAAACGATGCTTTTAATGTTACTGCAGGTGAGTGACAGTCAAACGGACAAGCTCAGAGCCATCCCAGAGTTCTGCTTTCCAGATGCCTTCAAGTGGGCCCCAGTTGAACAGTACAACAGCGAGAGCTTCTGCTTCGTACTCACAAGTTCGGACGGATCAAGAGTCTACGGCTACAACAGAAGAATGCTGGTACGTTGCAGTCTTTTTCTGTCACAAAAGGAAAATGTGTATAAAAGAAAATGTGTGTAAAGAAAAATCCTATCGCGAAATGGATATGAACGGGGATTGTGTATTAAGGCATTTTTCAAATAAAAATGAAAGTGCAATAGTGAGGAGTTCTGTTTCATACTTACGAGCTCGGACGGATCAAGACTCTACGGCTACAACAGAAGAATACTGGTAAGTTGCAGCCTTTTTCACAAAAGGGAAATGTGTATTAAAGGCCATCTGTACTAGTTCGGCCAGAAGGGATTAGACCACCCAGCGAGGTCACTGACAGGTGGCCATCTCATCAGCTCGGCTCTCAATTAACATAAGAAAAAGAGGATCATGGGGGACCTACAGGCACCGATTGGGGAAGTTTTCTATATAGAGGGAGCAATAAGCTACAAGTAGTACAGTGGGGCTTTAAAGAAACATTGTACCCCAAAATGGATGGATGCTTTGAGGATTCTACTGTAGGTGCTCTCCAGCTGTTCGAGTTGATCTACACAGGGTAAATGCTAGATATAGTACACGCAGTTCCTAATTCAACATACATTTATGTTGATTTAATTACTTTAAATATGTAAAGGCATAATCAGAAACAGATCATGACATCATTTTTGAGTGAAATCCCTACATGCATCTGGCGGCTATCTTTTTTTTTAGTTAAGGGAATTTCATGGTTCAGCTTAACGTTTAGATTGTGACCAAGCATATCCTCTATAACTGTGTTACCATCAAAATCAATTAACAAATTATAGAGATTTCCAGATGATCGGTTGAGGCTAGGAAATGTTTACTGAGGAAAACAAAATAATGGTGTACCAAGTATAGTACCAAGAGACCATTTCTGTGGTGATATGTGGAAATGTTGACGTTTATGAAACTTGAAAATAATATCTTGTTTTTTATGTTTTAACAAGATTGATAAGTCCCCAGACATTAGATCAATAAAACTGCTGCCCGCTGGTGTTATCTTGAAAATAGCCGTTAATGATATTGACTATAATTTACACCATCTTGAGTTTTTGTTTTAATAATAAATAATATTCAGCTTTTATATAGCGCAAATCACAATAAGTCTCTAAGCGCTTCCAAACTTGGATATTATTACCCCGGCTTTAGCCGTGCTGCCATTATAGCGCTCTAGCATTTATAGGAATAAATTCCTACCAGGTACCCATTACCCCGTTTTCATCAGTTATCTTTAGATCTTTACAATGAAAAAATTAAGGCTATCTAATTAGAATGCTTTTAAAGCTTGTATTTCAAAATGAAATATTTCATAGATCTGTTTTGTCCATATTTCAAAGGTACTTGAATTTTCACTTTTTAATATACTCTATTTTAAGGCTACAAATGGCTTTCCATAATTTGAAAGTCCAACTTTGAGATAGGTTCAACTTAGGATCTTTGTGAAACACCTCCCTGGTCCTAATCATTCACATTTGTCAATGAAGCACAAAACGGATCACACATAGAGTATTAGGATGACTAAGACCTGAAAATGCAGCACTCAATCAAATCCCTGTTCGTATTTGATCACATCTTAACATGTGCTGCTGCAAGGTTGTGCAATGAGTCAAGGTTTCAGATGAAACAAATTAACATTAATCGTAGCTTCTATGATCAGGGTATATTATCGTCTGTTGAGAAGCAGAAGGGTGTTAACTCCTTCAAAAAGGAAATGACAAACGACCTTCTGCCTTTCAGGAGATATAGGGCGCGTTCATGCTTGATTTTGACGGCCAGAATCAGGCATCTGTTACGCGTTTAGTTTAAAACACGATTGCGTTCATGCTCACTTTTGTAGAATCACCGAAAAAAGGCGATCACGATCGCCGATCGTAAACTCACAAAAAGATGCGTTTACAATTTGTAAACGCGTTTAAATGGGGTCAACGCACTGACCTCTAGTGGGTCTACGTAGCGTGGGCACACAGGTTTGCGAAGGCCACCCAAGGAGAATTGCCTGGAGAAGTGAGCATGAACAGTGCACCGTGGAACTGCGATTACGATGAGCGTTACAAATCGCTCATTCTGCCTTCAAATTCAAGCATGAACGCGCCCATAGTATTACTTTTGTCTGGGGGAACAAGTCTGGTTGGCAACAGGTGGAGCATTAATTAGAGTAACGAAGGAGTCGATATGCTCGGGGAGCGTAATCCAGGCGCAGACGGGGAGATTCAGATCCGCATAACTCTCTGTTCCTTTACGGATCAAATTTCCGCTTTGATTTCATTTTTTGTTTGCATCAGAATGTTGAATCAGGAAATAACAGCGTGTTCCAAAGTCAAGAAGTGATTACTAAATTTGTATTGAAATTATTCAATGTGGATTTAAAATTGACAGTTGTCATTGTAACAGATTTCCTGGAGATGTTTTTAGCTTTTAATGTTCAGGATTTGTTGATATTTATGTGATCTATATCATTCCTAGTAGAGTGTATCTCTTGTCTGTGTAGAGGTTAAAGATAGCTTTTGCTTGTCGCTGAAAAGAACAAATTCTGAATGAAAGGAAACATGCATTTTTTTGCATTCACTTTGACATATATAGATTGTACCAATGGTACACAAATGTTCCATCATCTACATCATCACTATCATCACTGCCAACACCACCACCACCACCACCACAGTATCACTACCACTACTACTACTACTACCACTATCATCATCTCTACCACCGTCATTATCACCCTCACTATCCTCACCACCTCCATCAACCCTACTACCACTCTCCTCACCTCCATCAACCCTACTACCACTCTCCTCACCACCACCAACCCTACTGCCGTTCTCCTCACCATCATTACTACTACCTCTTAATCATCATCTTCCTTATTCCCATCATGAATAAGTCCATCATTTCCACAATTACTACAAGCACCACTAATTGAGTTCCTCACTACAAGCGCCACTTCAAACAGGCCAGTGTCTTCCTGGGCCCCCTCTTACAAAGAGCTAGCCTTTAAACAAGGCCACATGTCTGATAGATGCCGAGCGACTAAAAAGAGACTAATCGCGAAAACCTGAGTAAACGCCAGTGCGAATTGCCCAGACCAGTGGCCTTTATCAATCTGGTTTGGATTTCTTATGTTAACCTTTGTTTCCGACTGGAACTCACTTCAGAAAAGGTAGTGTCCAATCAGCGAACGTATCTTCGCGTGGCGTCAGCTTATACACACACACATACACACAGTAAACTCTACGTAGTACGAACATGGACCTACTATGAACTATTACGTACGTGCTAAGGCCACTGACCTCTACATGAACGAATCACGAACGAAGCCAACTGGGAGATCGCCATTATGATTGGTCAATAAATCCAAAGTAGGCGTATTGGCATGCTAATATGTATCTATGAATAATTCATGTGGAGCATTGAAACCTACATTGCAAAAGGCCTCGTGACATTCGTCATTCGGTCCCGCATTCACCCCGGGTATCTAGACTCATTTCAGCCGCTTAGCCAGAGTCACGAGGCCTTGTCAAAAGGCTAACAAAGAGCTGATATCAATTGCAACTTACTTGTATTTGCGATTGATATCAATCACAACTTTGTACATAAGAGATAGGAGACTGTAAACTTGCGATTGATTGGAGGACTAACGATTGATTTGGATCAGTCCCAACTCTTTCTGTGAAACCCTTTTAGTAATCCAATCCTTTTCATTCCTATCTTCCATTTTGCAGCCCCCTGGTAAAGGTCCTCGGTTACCGGAGGTGGTGTGCGTGATGAGCCCTATAGGATGCTATCCGATCTACAACCAGCTCCTAGATGAGATCGAGAACAGGAGAAAACATTCCATGGCTGCTGTTGAGAACTTGCTCAAGCTCTCCTACGAGAGCCCCTTCCCAAGGCCGGTGAGTAGCAACATCAGGGCTCTGTTCATTGCGATTGATTTGGAATGATTGAAAATCTTCCAGCTAATCACAAACTTATATACTCGTCTATCTCATTAATACAGAAGTAGAAGTGTCGTAGTCGAGTTGTTTAAACACTTGACTTGAAATTTGAAGGTTGTGGTTCGATCCCTGACATGGCACTAATGTCCTTTGGCAAGCCATTAATCTACACGTGCCACACTCGACCCAGGTTAGGTAAATGGGTACCTGGCAGGAGTTATGTAATGGCAGCTAGGCTAAAGCAGTGGTAATAATTAATTTGTGCGCCTCTGAATAGAACCCTATAGATGCCTATTATTATCATTATTATTACAGATTTCTGACATACATCAAGTTATGATCAACTTCAACCTATAGTAGCGAAACATTTTTATGAAGAATGCCACTGCATAAGAAAATTTGATAAGCATAGTGCATTTCATATCTCTATGTCTTAGAAAAGATGGATTTGTGATTATACACATAGGGCTATTCATATCCTCAGCTATCATTTTAGTGAATGAGTGAGTGAGGGAATGAGATTTGCAGATAATATGCTGGATATTGCATTGTCCCCTTGGCATATGGTACCTGTTATTTGAGAAGTGCAGGAGTGAGTCATGTGAATTCAAATACATGGAGCAGTGTGCAGGAAAAGTAATCACTTCCTGTGGGGCACCCCTGATGACCTCATGAGGTCAAAGGTCATGGTGGAATTGAAACTCTTTTTAGTCCCTATGGGTTAAAAGGGGTAATATTAAAAACCTAATTGTTGGAACAAGTGTGTGAATCACATAGCTGACATGGATCAATATTTTCTGCCCTTTTCTAATAATTCTTTAAAAAGCTTTGATAAAAGTTTTAAAGCTTTTTTGAGCAAGTGTTTATGAGTCACTAAATAGGAATTTAGCAACAGAAAAGTCTTGGTTCAAAAGAAAATCCTACCAGGAGTCGAAAAGTGAGGGATGGGGAAAGACGAGGGGGGAGGGGAAAGACCGAATTGAAAGTGGTAAGGGAGAGTACTTGAAAGCTACATGCCACTTGGTGACGTTAGCAAGGTCGTTCAGCGTTGCACATATTATGCCACATGGTAGAGGTACAAGATTTTACAGTATGAATGAGGTATAGCAACAGAAAAGTTCTGGTTCAAAAGGAAATCCTAAGAGGGGTCAAAAAGTGAGGGGGAAGGGGAGACTGAATCAAAGGAAGAGGGGGGAAGGGGAATGACTGAATCGAAGGCCAAGGAATTGTGGTAGCAGAGAACTCTGAAAGCTGTCAGTGTGTGACGTTAGCTAGGTCACTCAACGTTACACATGTCACATGGTAGATATGAACAAGGTAGCGGCAGAAAAGTTCTGGATGGAAAGGAAATCTGCTAGGGGTCAAAAAGTTAGGGGGAAGGGGGAGACTGACAAGAAGGAAGTATTTTGAAAGCTGGGGCCTATTTCTTGAAACATATGTCTAAGTTCCCGGACATCCCTTATGGTTGCTGGTTGCTTACTTACAAGCATACTCTTTCTTTCCTAGCAATCGGGTAAAGCAATAAACAACCAACCTTCAACGAAAGTGTGTCAATTTCTAATACACATGATTCCATAGGATGTCCATTGCAAGAAGTTAGACTATCGACAGTTTTGAGAAACGGGGCCCCTGCATGCCCTGGGTTGAGGTTATCAAGGTTAGTCAGCGCTGCACATGCTATGTCACATGGTCGAGGTGTCAGGCGGTACGACTGATGTACCTGTCAGGATCTTGTTTGTTGTAGCCTGTCTAAATCTGTGTCCCATCATTGCTCATTTTTGCAAACTCATAACCCTTGTGCCTCATAATGCATGGTTTGTGTGCATCGTCCCCGTACCGTGGTAGTTACATGTACGACCATTTTCAAATGTTTAGTTATTTCTTTTAGTGTCAAAATAGAGTCTACTCTTGCAAGCTATTGTAAAAATAACCCGTACATAACAAAACAGATGTAGCTGTCAGGATCTAAATCTGTGTCCCATCACTGCTAATTTTTTGCATACTCATAACCCTTGTGCCTCACAATGCATGGTTCCTGTGCATCGCCCCTGTGCCATGGTAGTTACATGTATGTGTACAACTATTGCAAAGCTAAACTTTTAAATGTTTTGTTATTTCTTTCAATGTTGAAATGGAGTCTACTCTTGCAGACGATTGTAAAACTAACCCGTACATAACAAAACATATTCCTTGTTGCTCACAATCTGTGGTTTGAACGGTAAAAAGAGTAAGGCTTCTTTTGCATCGACCCTGTCCCGTAGTAGTTACATGTACTACCATTTGAAAGCTAAACTCTACAGTAATTTCCTATAGTGTCATAGTAGTCTACTCGTAGGTATCTGAGCAGAAAGACGTGGCCATGCAGAACGCAAATCAAATGGTATAATAGTTAGTGATGTTTGTCAATTAAAAGTTCCTTCTGACATATCTGAATGAAAGTTAAGCCAACATTAGGCATCATTGAGATGATACCAGCTCCATACCATAACGATGTGATTCTATCTTTGCGATGGTGATAAAAGCATGATTTTCAACAATTATGCATTTTTTGGTTCCAGATGCATCTTTCCATGCCACTAATTTGGCCAAGCTACCTTATTTGGTTAATAACAAGTCTATCATTATCATCTTCTCTTGTTCATTTTTCATATCAAGGGACATTGCATAAAGGTCTCCACTCCGCCCAATAATAACAACAGGAGAAAAAACATTGGCAGCCACCTTCACTACCTGCAAGACCCCAAGCCCCTCCTACTTCAGAGACCGGCAGATCAAAGACTGGAACATGTAAGTTAAAGCCCCACTGTCCTAGCTACTTGTAGCTTCTTGCTCCCTCTATATAGAAAACTTCCCCAATCGGTGCTTGTTGGTCCCCCATGATCCTCTTTTCTTATGTTAGTTGAGAGCTGAGTTAATGAGATAGCCACCTGTCAGTGACCTCGCTGTGTGGTCTAATCCCTTCTGGCCCAGTAGTATTGGCGGTCTTTAACAACTGTATAATACAGTGAAACCTGTCTGTAAAGACCACCCAAGGGAGACAAGAAAAGTGGTCTTAATAGGCAGGTAGTCTTTAATATGTACAGGTTCCTTTTAGTAGTAAAAGTTTCGATGATAAACCAATTTTAAGGGAAACAAAATATGTGGTCTTTGTAGACAGGTGGTCGTTACAGCAGGTTTGACTGTACATTAAAAAAACTCAAACTCTTGTTTCCGTCTTTCTTTATTGCTATCACATTCAGTTGCAATATTTTGTATTTTATTTGGGAACCTATGATTATCAAGCTTTGCTTCATAGTAGGTTCCTTGTATTTCACATTATTTTTTCTCTATGTTACATGTGTTTATCATTGTTTTTATTATGCATTCTCTTGTTAAATTGTATGTATGAGACAATAATGTTATGTGGAATGTGGAACATTAACACAAAAAACCAAAAAAAAAGAAGAATGAAATTGATTTTAATACAGTAATCATTGATTTTAATACAGTAATCAATCTTGTAATTAAATACAGGTGGCTTTGACATGTTATTCAACTGTCTAAATGTCAACATAGTATTAAATCTATTCTATTTATACTTCTTTGTATTACATGTCAAATTTGAAACATTATTCAATCTCTTCAGTATAAATGATTTAAACCCATTCTTGATATTAACTATATTCCATTTACTTCTTGATAATACAGGTTGACTTTGACACGTTATTCAACTGTCTGAGTGTGAACAGGATAGTTCAGATCTTTGCGTCGTTATTACTGGAGAGGAGAGTTATCATGTGCTCAGGGAAATTAAGGTAAGAAATTATCAAATTTAATACCACACAGTGCTCAGGGGCTCAGCCATGGGGGTGGCACCAGTCTTTAGTCTAGTAGATCATTGTTTTTCCCCAAAAAATGTAGTCATGGCACCCCTTTAGGAGGTTAAAAGTTTCACATCATCCCAATCCAAAATTCGTCAAAGAGGATCTGTTTTTCATCCCTCGTACTCAAAGAACAACAGGCATATTTTTGCTCTCACCTCTTTTTCCACCTTTTTTTCCTCCCCATTCTAAGGGGGGGGGGGGCACTTTACAGTTTATTCTAGAGGGGGGGGGGGGAGAAAATATGAAATTATTGTCTATACTCTAACAAAATAAAATGTTACAGATTCTTAATTCAGTCTTTTAAAAATATCTAATTTCAGTAAACTGTCCAGATGTTCTCAGGCGTTAGTAGGTCTCCTGTATCCGTTCTCATGGCAACACGTCTACGTACCGGTCCTACCCGAGAAGCTGATTGACATGTGCTGCTCACCGACGCCCTACATCATGGGTATGCTCTCACTCTGTATACCAAGGCTAGAGGAGATGCCACTTGAAGAGGTAAGGATGGGTGGTGGTGGTGGTGGTGGTGGCTTGGGATGGTGGTGGTTCTGGTTGGGGTGGCTGTGGTGGTGTTTGTGGTGATTCAGATTTCAGATTTTATTGTCTACGGGAATGATTGTGATTGTGGTTGGAATGATAATGGTTTAGGTGGTGGTGGTGGTGGTGGAAGTGGTGGCGGTATTTGTGGCGGTAGTTGTGGTTGGGATGGTGGTGGTGGTGGTGGTAGTGGCTTGGGATGGTGGTGGTGACGACTGTGGTGGTGACAGTGGTAGTGATGGTGGTGGTAGTAGTAGCTGAGTTGGCAACGATAGTTGTAATGCTGATGTTTTACACATGTTTTTTAAATGATATTACTTGTAGTTAAGGTGGTGGTTTTGTTGGTAGCTGTAATGGCTATGATGTGGTAATTATGGGGCTGCTGATTTTATTAGTGTCAGTAAATGTCGTGTTAATGGTGAGTATGGTGACGGATCAGGTTGTTTTTTGAGCTAGTAGTAGTGGTGGTGGTATTGGTGTTTATAATCCTATTTGTGTTGGAGGCTCTGGTGGTCATGATATAAGTCATGATGGTAGTGTAGAAGGGGAAGAAAAGAACGCCTTTCATAATTTATAATCACTAAAAATTCTTCCCTTGTCATAGGTCCTGGTCGTCGATCTCGATGCAAAGGACTTCTACACCGTGATCGGTGACGAGGGAACTATCTTGCCAAAGAAACTATCAGCAGCCCTCGAGAGGGCGCTAAAGGTTTGCAGTATGAGCAGCTGGGAGGGAGCCGACACGGACGATGAATTATCAGAAGGTAAATCATTTTGAAAGGAAGATTTTTATTTAATCACAAATTCAAACTCCCCAAATGGTAAAATCCAGGCTCATTTTACTGTACAGTATCTTGTGTTTTTACCATACAAATTGAGCAATGCAAACTGACCTACTGACAGGACTGCATAAATAGCATTTTGAGTCTATCAACAGCAAGTATTCTTTAGGTTGATGGTGATAATCAAAGTTAAAGATCAATTTATCAGATATGTAATAAGGTAAGTTTTGTCCAGGCTATTTATTACAATTAATACAAAGTACTTTGTCTTTGAAATGCGAATGCATTTTCAAGCTGGACAAAGTGACCTTGTAGAAAATTCTCCATGATTTTTCAAAAATAACTATGAAATTATATTTTCCCAATAATTCCACAATTAGATTTGTTATTCATTTGTTTGTGAGCTTTTTACAGAATTGTTTTGGGGTAAGAGTAGATGGCTTTCTTTTTGCTTCTTTTCCTCACTCAATGGAGTTAAACATTCAAATAAGATTAGTCATCTCATTTGCGGCAATAATAGTCCAAATCTCTCTTTCCTTCATTTTCAGACCATGAGTCGAAGAACAGCGCCATCTCGGAGGCATTCATCAGGTTCTTTGTCGAGACGGTGGGGCACTACTCCAACCACTTTACGCAGGCGTACGACGACTCACAGAAGTTCGACCGAGAGAGTTTCATCAAGGCGGTGTCGTCCAAAAGCGTGCGGAACTTCCTGGAGGTGTTCAGCGAGACGCAGATGTTCTCTCTCTTCATCCAAGAGAAGGAGTCGGAGAGCGAAGGCATCTCACAAGGTAAAGGTGTGCAAAACATGTTCTTCTTCTTCTTATCATCCCTCAAACCCTCCCCTCCCCTTCCCCCCGTCCCCTCTCCCTCGCCCCTCTCCCTCTCCCCCGTCCCCTCCCCTCTCCCTCGTCCCTCTCCCCCGTCCCTCTCCCCCGAAGACATTCCCACATGCTCTGTATCCCTTTTCCTTTGTCCCTCTTTTCCCTTCTACAGAGTTATCGGATGCCTCTTCTTCCCCTTCCCTCTCCTTTTCATATTAAAGGTGTGCAAAAATGTTCTTATTCTTCTTGTGATCATCCCTTAACCCCCCCCCTCCCCCTCTCCCCCACCCCCCTCTCCCCTACCCCCCTCTCCCCTGTCCCCCTCTCCCCAGTCCCCCTCCCCCTGAAGACATTCCCGCATGCTCTGTATCCCTTTTCCTTTGTCCCTCTTTTCCCTTCAACAGAGTTAACCAATGCCCCTTCTCCCCCTTCCCCCTCCTTCTCAAGTTAATGGTGTGGACAATGATCTTATGATGACCCCTCCTTCCTACCCCTTATCACCGCATTCCCAAATGCCCTGTTCCCCTTCTCCAACTTCTACTCAAAATTTCAAAAGTTCAATTCGAGATATGAGTTCTTTTGTCCCATTGCTAAATTGTGTTTTAGATATCTGTCATACATGTGGGAACAAACTTCTCATTCTTGAAACCTGATTCTGTTTGAGGAATTAAGAATTTGGACTGTAGTCCAAACTTCAGTGTACTCCTAGAAGATTTACATTTTCGGAGCGGACTTTGCTGATCTCATCATAAAGAAGGTTACGGTAAAGGTGCAGACACAGCTTTTCTTGTTCTGTGATGTGAAGCAGTGATATATGAATGTGTCCCTAATGGTTTTTTTCTCTCTTTGTCTCTGTTGTTTCTTGCAGGGTTGTTTGAGAGGAGAGTAAGAGAATTTGAGAATGAGTCCAAGAGCAACTCAAAAAACATCGGTGCTAAGATGAAGAAGTTTGGAAAGGCTGTCAAAGATATCAAAGATTCAGGTACGACAACAAAAAAATTAATGAGATTCTGACATTACTTTATGTACATCCCTTTTTGTAGGTATCGTTTTATCTTATAAAAAATAAAAAATGAAAGTGCTTGAAATGTGCAAAGATCTATCGTTTTAGTAAGTGAACATATTGGAAAGTTTATGGTAATTTTGTGTTTGAAAGAAATTTCTCCCTTTTACCTGTGTTTTTTGTGATGTTTTATGGCTGCAATTTGTAACCTAGGGGTGAAAATGCACAAATTAAAAGCTCAAATTTTAGACAAGTTATGTTTCTTGCCCCGGATTTGTTTAAAGTAGTTATCTCTGGTATCAATCACTTATATCATTAAAACCCTAAAAATGTGACATAGATTTATTTTACCCCCCCCCCCCCTCACCTAAGAATCATCATTAGATTGAACCAAGTAGGTCCATGATTAAACCATACCAGTGTATTTCTATAGCTCACCATTGACAACATTAATGTGCACTGCGTAGTCATCTTTGTTAAACAGGGATGGATTGTACATGTACATGTATGTTGCTCATGATAGCAATGCCTCCAAGCATTGAGCATTGCACCAACCATCAGGAAAATGCTATTTTGGTTTACAGTGAATCATGACCTGTGCCTGGATGGCTCAGCCCTAGACTTGGCAAGGCAACATCAAGTTTGCTTTCTAAGCAACCAGTCATTTAAAGGGAACCAAATACAGGGTAACCAGGAAATCGGGAAAACCCTTGGACATTAAGTTCCTTTCTTCTAGCCAGGGAAAAGGCAGGGATTCGAGAAAATTTGCTTAACTCTTTGAAAGGTCAGGGAATGTTATTGGCACCCTAAAAAGAAAAGAATAGATGTCTCATATTTTGTCTTGTGTTACCTAGCATACCTGTAGGATGGTATGCATTGCCAAACCACTCCCTAAAACTAGGGTTTGTTGAAGATGTTTCAAATTGGAAATAAGTTAAACAATGATCCTCAAAATTTACAACTCTATCAGGGAAATGTCATATAATTTCGTTTTCATAAATGATGGGAAACCCTGCAATCACCAAGCTTTTTAGGGTCTGAACACATGACATTTGGGAGGTCCATTCTTAAATTTGGGTCCCTATTCAAGCTGCAAAATATGAACAGTTTTGTCTTGGGCCCTGTTTCACAAAACTTGTCATCAGTGACAAATGACATTTTCTGTTATAAGCTACTGAAATCCTTGCTTCTGATTGGTTATCAACAGATTTGTCACTGATATTTGTCATTTGTCATTGAAAAAGGTTTTGTGAAACCACCCTCCTGGTAGTGTTGAGTTGAGCCCCTCCCTTTACATAAATATTTCTTTTCTCTAGTGTCCTCTTTAAGGCATATGAGTTGGCTACGATTTAATGGACTCCACCAGGGAATGATTTATCATTTATGTAGCGACACCCACACAGGCTGTGGTTGTTAAACCGCTTCCTCTCTCAGCTAAAACTGTTGAATACAGAGTATCTGCGGAAAAGAAAGCACACTTCTATACAAAATAAACCGATAAGCACGTCTTTGTAGATATTGGGAGCGCAGTGGCTTGTGGCCAATTTTGTTGAGAATAAGCAGAGCAGTGAAAACCGGCATGCACTATGAACATGACAGACAAAAAAAGCGGACAAAATATACAGTTCCTCAGGTAGACAAAGGAACATCCCTTCACTGCTATTATGTAAAAAGGTGAATATGCATGTGACACCTGCTCTACACATTTTTACATAATAGCAGTGAAGGAATGTTCCTTTATCTACCTGAGGAACTGTATATTTTGTCCGCTTTCTTTGTCAGTCATGTTCATAGTGATGGCCTTTTCATCTCAAACAAATACTGATTGAAATAGAAAGTTTCTTTTGGAATTTTAAAGGGCATTCTAAGTTTCTAACCCTGATAGTAAAGTTGTTTTGGATGAAGGCAGGAAGATCTGAGAAACAAATCAATTGAATAAATTAGGATGAGTGCTAAAAAAGTTACGAAGTTTGACATCACTGTTAATAAAATTTAAAATTGCGCCTTGGTAATGCTACAGTGATGTAATGTAGAGCAACACACCCTTTTGTTCCTACATGCTCTCTGAATAAAATTGCTCTTGTCAGAATGCCATCACTCAGCAGGATCTTTTGCCTATTTAAGGACCTTTAGCAAAGTGCGGTCTAAGATGTGTGTTACAACACAGACCAGAGACGAGGAAGTTCATATTTTACTGTACAGCAAAAGGGAGAATTATCCACAATGACGCTACTGTCATATGACTACTATGCCAGTTTGCTATTCCCCTACGTGTACTCGTGTCTCCCTATTTATACTCTCACAATTTCTGATGGTTCATAGAATTTTGTTCATTGTGTTGCTTTGGGCTTTCCTCTATCTCTATTTGGGGCAATGTACCGATGGATTTTTTTTTTTAAAATGAACTTAGTTTGCAACAGTATTCATGCAATGTGACTGGAAACGAAAGCCATTGTAAATATAAAGCCAGGGTAATTATGCTGCATTATTGTAGAGTGCTTAGAGACTTCTGATAAAGTAAGTGTTAAGCGCTATATAAGCAAATATATAATTATTATTATTATAATAACATCATTCTCCCATTCATTCCTTTCTGCAGCCAAGACCGCCCAGAAGCGAATGAAACAGAACTTCGAGGACAAGATTTGACAAACAGCTTCCGAGACCCAGTCGTACGAACCTCGGGAGCCACTGAACTATAAAGCTGTGCGCCGTGTGACGGGTCATGACCTTCGACATATGGTCATATAACATTGAGGACGCTGAATGCGATTGCAACGTGATGTTGCCCATGTGTTTCTACATGCCCTGTTTGGCACGTGTTCATGTCAATGTTGACAAGGACGCTGAGTGATGTCCGATTGGAGTACTGAAGAATGGGTATTGCCTGAGGATGCAGCAGTGGCGCACCTGACGTGTCAACATCAGACAAACCTAGAGGATCCCAAAGGATCCCGAAGGCCACGGTCAACTTGGAGATGATGTCAAAAGCTTTTCACTCTTCAGCTTAGCATGGTTTCTCCCGAGCCAAATGCTAGATGTGAACATGTGTGCCAACAGGTTCAAGCCTAAATATTGCTAAGTTTCAAAGGCATTGTTCTGTCCACCCTAGCGATCTGATGCTTCTTCTGAACCAAATGCCAGAAAAGGAACATGTGTGACATCGGGTTCTGACGTCCAGAGTGTGTAAAAGGCCACTCACTCATGTTTCTTAGGGGCAGCAGAATGCCTGATGAGCAAGATGGAGAATGTGTATGATGGTCAGTCTTGCGCCGCTCTGACCAGGGACGCCAAGCTTGGTTCAAACGTCAGGATAGAATCCACATTTCTTTTGAGCTGACCAGAAGATGTGAACGAGATCCACGATACATCTGGAGGTCTTCCGTCAGCCAGTGGGTTCAACAGACTCCAAGCGACTTACCAATGAGGCTAAACTCTTCAATCCTGTCTCATCGTCCTGTCAGGATTCAGAATATTTGGGGCATTGTCTTGACCAACTAGCGTAGTGACAAGACCAATCTACTGTTGGCATTTCTGATGGTTGGTAGTGACACCAAGAGTTAACTTGCTGATGACAACCATGGGGCTGGAGTCACGGACTCGGATAGTCATTGCTGAGCTGCCAAGTAGGACTGACTCTCAGTATTTCAAACTGAAATTACAGAAAATTTACGATTTCAGGAAAATGGTAAATTGATAAATGTCTACTTTCTGTTTTATTCTATGTAATTGATTCTGAAAAGACTTATTTTCTTTGCAAAATTTCAATCACCACATGTGTGAGTTGTGATTGATGTAGTTGCCAATGATTCAGATTGACCGCAACTCCTTCTCGCAGGGCATTTTATTGTCTGAGAGCAAATTTGTAATAGAATTTTAGCATTCATTATTTATTGATAACAATTTTTATGAAACAGGACTCAGAGAACTCTGTACGAGTTTGGGGGTTTGCCTAAATCATGACGAGACATTGTCAGGGAATACAAGAAGAGTTGTTCTTCCATTAATGAAATTAAGATTTGTATGCTAGAGATGATTTGTTCCACTCTTTTCTAATTTTATTCATGATTCAGACTCAATTTTTATGGGAAAAATATCTCAGTTTCATTCCTGGTTGTAATGTTGCCTTTGTAGGCAGTGTTTGACAAGTTCTGTACGGAACTGAAACCCATTGATTACTAATTGTAAACGTTTTAGTTGCACAAACTTTTACGAGTGTTGCGACAGGAAGCGTAATATTGATATGATTACTTTTGATTTGTACGAGTCTGTTTGATAGAAGTCATTGTAAGGGGTTCATAGTGGGTGACTCAATAGGAAGTTCTGCTGTGATGTCACTGTTGAGATCAATGGTGTCCCTTGTGTCTGTCTGTTTGTCTGTTCTACTCTCTCTTTATCTTCTCTTTCTTCATCCCCTTTTCTGTCTTCTCTTTCTTCGTTCCTTTGTCTGTCTTCTCTTTCTTTGTCCCTTTGTCTGTCTGTTCTCTCTCTTTATCGTCTCTTTGTCCCTTCGTCTGTCTCTCTGTCAGTTCTCCTCTCTCTTTAACCTCTCTTTCTTCATCCCTTCGTCTGTCTGTTTGTCCTCCTCTCCTTATCTTCTCTTCCTTATCCCTTTGTCTCTCTGTCAGTTCTCTCTCTTTATCGTCTCTTTCTTCGTCCCTTCGTCTGTCTGTTATCCTCTCTCTTTATCGTCTCTTTCTTCGTCCCTTCGTCTGTCTATCTGTTCTCCTCTCTCTTTATCTTCTCTTTCTTTGTCCCTTCCTCTGTCTGTCTCTTTCTTCCTTCGTCTGTCTGTTCTCCTCTCTCTTTATCTTCTCTTTCTTCATCCTTTTGTTTGTCTGCGTGGGTGGATGTGGGATTTGGTGTGCACTTTTCTGCACTCAAACTAGAGATGCACACTTGCACACCTATCCCTTTTGTGTAAGAAAGACCCAAGTCCTTTGAATATGTGACTTGTTTATTTGGGGTGAGGAGGGCGTAAATGCTGAGTAAATAACGTCGTTCCTGCTCCAAACTGATTATTTAATTCTGATACTGAATGCTACATTGCCAACTCATGAAATCAAAGTATACTTGTAATTTTGTTGCTTTTTGATAAACAAACAGAGATAATTTGAATAATTGCTGCATCTTGACATGAAATTAGAAATCTTGTATGAATTTTAGGTTGCTTTAGAAGAGCCAATGAAAACGGCAAAATTTTTAACTGAGATCAAAATAGTACTACATTTACTGTGTGTTGCTGGTCATATAGTAGCTATTTTACTAACAAGCTATGATAAAGATGTACAGAGTATTTTATGTGAGTCATTGTAATGCTTGTATTCCATTGGTGTTTGAAAGAGAAATATGTAAATAACTCAATCGTTATATTGAAATTGCCACTGACTGAAAAGTGTTGAAATGAATCGATAAACAATGATTGGACAAATTGTTTGTATATACTTCCATGTGATATAGGCCTTTCCAAGAGTAGATATACAAATCATAGGCAAGTGTAATATATGATTATTATTATTAATATTTCCATATAAAAATATACATATTCTTGCTGTATATATTGCATTGTTCTTCGCATGCAAATGACATCTTTCTAAATTTATTGTGAGGCCTTCGATAATACATGTCATTCTTAGAAATTACTGTAATTTCTTTGGGGCTATCATTTTCATTTTTATAAACAATCATTTGTTTTGTATTTTCTCTAAACATAAATGTTTATGTTCATTGTTAGAAAATAAATCAATGTTTTTATAAATTTTATGCATATTTTTACTCATGAAATAGACATACGAATGGTTAGAAGAATTTTCGTATGCGATCCTCATACAAAAATTTACCTCCACTTTTGGCAATATTTGTATATTTTTGATATGTTATACATTCTTCCCAAAAGATTTGATTTATATTCTATGAAACTAAGTGAACAATGCAATATAAATTATCAGATTTAACGTCAGATTTTCAAGGAAAGTGTGAAATTTGAATTTTATAATATGCATTTGAATAATTAAACAAAAGATGTAATATCAATATTGCGTCCTGCAATAGGAACAGACTCAAAATGTACAAAATCTAATTACTTTTTATATCTCTCATTTTTAGATATTCAGTATCAAAACACAAGGAACAAACCATAGTTATATATCTGGAATGCTCCCCAGAGAGTGGAGAATGTGCATACATTGTGTGTGGGCAAGCCTGAATCAGATGTCCAGGGTAATAATAAATCTGTAAAGGGCTTAGAGACATTGTCGATGTATTAAGTGCTATATAAAAGCAAAATATTATTATTTATCTGTGAAAAAATGCGTGATTTAACCCCGAAATGCTCTGTGAACCGAAAGGCTGTACTACCAGGAACATATTCAAGACACATGAAAATTTATACAAGCCCAATGCCATCTTATGCAATGCACACTTTCGTTGCAAAAGCCATTTATGTTGAAATTTATCAGTAAGCTTCTGTATTTTATGTGCCAATAATTCATACACAGACAGGGTCATTTTGTTTAGCTGCTTGCTTATGTACATTTACACAGGCATATTTTTCATTATTTTATTTTTTTCTGGGATAGAGTTGAAACATCTCTTGAAATAAAAACATTCTTTATAGCTTTGTACATTGTCATATCTCAATGGCCAGTAATGATACCTACCCAGAACACTAGCAACAATTCAAATGTTATTTAGGTTATTTTAATCCAATTTTGTTTACCTGTTATTAGTTTTCTGTACAAGGCACAAAATTGGGTTAGTTTTTTAACAACCCAAGACTGGAGTATTTAAAACAGTTGTTGACCAAAAAGAAAGCAGTTTCTTATCGACTGCTGTGTTTTTCATGAAATAACACTCTAAGTGAAAATAAAGGTGCATTATTGTATTTTAAATATTGTTAGTTTTCTATATGTACTTCATATATTTCATTCATTCCTTTCTGGGGGATTTGTGCCTATGTGGTGGAAAATATACACTTTACACAGAGATTTGAAGCAACCTGCATTTTGAGCAAATCTTAGACCAAAATCTGAAGTCTTTCTAAACTTGTGTGCCTAAAATGATGAGAGTCACCAAGTTTTAAAACGTCTGTTGTATAATCATGTTCACCATTGCTTTCTTATTTTTCCCTTGTTCTTGTTGTTTTGTTCAAGTACTGCAGTTGGTAAATCAGATTTTATCATTGAGTATAATTATTTAGTTCTCTTTCATAATCATTTCTATGAAAATAAGAAAAGAAAATCTTGCAATAAATACCAGTCTTTTGCTGTAGAGCAAACTATGATATACAGAACTTGATTGTTGATTTGTCATTTATTCCCTCAAGACAATTCTTTTTATTTTGAGATATATATGACTTGGAATGACAGTGGAGGAGCGAGAGAGAGAGAGAGAGAGAGAGAGAGAGAGTGAGAGAGAGAGGGGGAAGAAAGGGGGGGGGGGCTGGGAGATATGAGGGATATAAGTGATGACAGAAGAGGTAGATAAATTCAGTGATTTTAAAATTTACTGTGTAAAGGGTGCTAGATAAAGTGTGAAATTTTAAACATGGCTCCAAAGGTCGGTCCCCAGATGTGAATAATCATATCTGATTGATACACGTCTGTAAAAACCTAATTACACACACGAGGCTTGAGTACCCACCCTCCCCCTTTTAAAAAAATTCATTTCATTTAAAAAGAGATCGAAAGAAAAATGTAGGGCCTATTCCATAGACATATATTTCACGAGTAATTCATAAAGGAAAGTTTTTGTCATTGGTCAATATTTGGTTTATCTCGATCTTTGGCCTTTGCCCCTTCAAAATCACCTCTTTTAACGGGCCATATGCCCCTCTATGTACGGTACATGTATGTGGGTAGGGGGGGGGGGGGCTAGCTGGTAGCCCTTTGTTTTGAAATAGGCCTAATAAAATTCATACTCATAAATCCTTGTGAACCGTGAAATCCACGTGAAGTGATGGAAAAGCTGGATAAACATCTGTTAGTGATTTGTATTAACCTTAATCGCTGACTATACTAGATTTGAAATTTCGCTTTATTTTACCCGAAATTGTATTAATTATCTTGAATGTCATCTTGAGAAAGCTGATTATCACTATGCTGCTAGTATGCGGCGCGCAACTTAGGTCATTGGCTTATGCAAATATAGGGCAAAGGGTTTGCTTCCATTGGACGAACGCCGCCACGCCCCGCGCGCGTAGCAGCGACGTCATTTGAAAACAAAGAAATTCGAAATTGTTGGGATCGGTGATTGAAAAGAGTTTCGTCTTTTTTAATGCTAAATGGCCTCTCTAGTCTATCTGTTTGGATTTTCCAGGCACTGATTTCCATCATCATTCGGTAAGACAGATTTCCCCATTTCAAAAACTTGCTAATGACCTTGTTACATTAACCTCAGTTTTAAATTTCAGACGAAACCGGCTTACAGCACAGCCCAGTCGCAAGCTCGCACAAGTGTCCACATCTTCATGAGATAACTTGCCTTGAGCTTTGGCGTAGATACGTGTAGCGACCCCGCCAATCTCGATGTAGCATTAGCCGGGACGGTATTCAACTTCAAATGGGATAGGGGAGGGGAGGAGAGGGGGGGGGGGGGATCTAGTTTTTATTAGTATAAAATGGGCCATAAATTTAAGAGTATTCTCAATCCCATTTGTAATTTTGTTTGGAGCGTTTTTTGATGAGTTAAATTGGAGTAATAACTCGATGGTATGACGACGTGACTGGCTGAGTGCAGTCATATCTGGTGTCGTGGGTGGTGTCTGTTGGTGATCATGACGAATATTGAATAGAATTTGGAAGTGGGCGTACATTTTGTCTTTAGTTTTGGGAAAGTTATCTTGTGAAGTGGTTAAATCATAAAATGTTCTATAGATCTATAACTGCCTAAAGAGTAATTAATTGATAAGTTAGACTTCTGAAGTTCTGATTAGAACTTTAGAAGATGAAGAAAAAAAGTCAGAATAACTCGGAAGTCAGATGTCACGGACTCGTACCGTCTTTCTTTCTTGTTACCAAAATGTCAGGCACTCAAGCTTTATCCCAGGTAAACATAATATAATGTTAGTGCTAGTGTAGTAGAGAGTCTACCCTATATAGATCTAGACCAAAAATCTATATGTTCAGCTCAACCAGCTCAGACATTAACTAATGACTTGTCCTAACTTTGATTTGTTGTGACAATTAACATCACTTTACTATTATTAAAGATAATATTTAACAGCCTTTTCAGAATATCATCTCTGATGTTCATTGTGGCATATGTGGATAAACATTTAGGTAAGGTTTAAGCCTAGCCTAAAGATAGATGGCTATCCAGAATATGGGTCATTATTGTTCTAGCAATGTAGTTGATGACATTGTCTGCCAGGGGAAAAATTAATATTTATTTTTCAGGGGCTACTTAACAAGCTTGTCTGCATGAATATAACATTTTAAAATTTGTTTTGCATTG